TAAGATAGTTTGTAGCAAAAAATGGTTTTTTTCTTCCAGCAATGAAAACAATTCCAAAGTATACTACTTTGTAAGAAAGGTACTTGTTTGAAGTCTTTCAAGAACTTGAGACAGAAATCAAAAGAACAAGTAAAAGAAATAAAAATGTCTGATTGCTAATGAGTTCTCAGATGTACATGAAAAGACACAGTCAATAGCACTAATAGCATGTTACAACACTCTAAATGGGAATTGTGAAATTGCATTATAAAATGTTTTTTACAGTTCCAGCATTGCTTTATTGCTTGCAAAATCATTACAGTGATATAGAAAAAAGTGGTTTTATTCTGCACAATACATGCAAAAGGTGGTGAATGACATGTTAGTAGACTCCTGCATGTCGCATTTAATTTATGTTTGTGTTAACGCTGCCCTTAGCTGTTCTGCAATGTCAGATGCTAAAAAAGTGGTTATCAAATTTAGTGCATTGCTTAAATATGCCTACAAATGAGAACAACTGTATAATCAAGAGTGTGCTCCATTTGGAATTTAAAATGTAATGAAACCCGCAGCTGTTGTTCCTATTAAATGGTTCAGTGTCTTTGAGAGCCCGCGTGTTTTTATACGTGTATGAGCTGGCCTGGTGGTTTTCTTGAAGAGGGAGAATGCCCTGAACAAAAAGATGTCTGATACTAAAGAAGTCATTCCCACTCACCACCAACAACAAAGAGTGTATGCTAAACTTATGTTTCGAAAGAAAAACTTGAACCGGTTTTAACTGTGCAGAAAGATCTGATTCTATGCTACACAAAATATACCATATTACACAATTCAAGCTTTCCATTTGTTTGGTACATAGCACGTTGGTTGTACCAAGAGATAAGTGCATGTAATTTTAGGAATTCTGTGACCTATAGAATCTGCATATGTGAGGTAATCCATTAATGAATTATGTGTAGCTCTGAGTGAAAAAAAGTAAAGGAACAACTGAAAAGAACGTGCCTACCACTGTAAAGAAGCTCTGGGTGCAAGCAAGAGTGATGGATCGTTTCCTGAAGTCAGTTCAGAGTTGTGAGTTTGATAACTATAAAAAAAAATGTTTTTCCTTGCGGGCAATGTAACAACTGAGGCTCTGCACTCATAATTCAGTCAATACACAAAAGAACCCTTTCCAGACAATCCAGAACTCATAGCAGCGAGATTCTGGAAGTATGTCGCAGCCAGATACCCAGTTCTGTCAACAGCAGCATTAATTCTACTCTGTATGCCGGCTAGAAGTGCAGCAGTATAGTGTTCCTTCATTGAATAATTCAAAATCCAAACCGTAGTGAAATAAACGAAAACACCAAATGATTTTAATTTCATTGAAATTGACTATAATTCTACCAGACGAGAGAGTCTACCTTGAGAATTAAGACGAGGTTAAGACTAAGTGCAAGAACAAGAAACCAAAAAAAAAAAATACATGCTGACAGACAACTCGCACTATCACATGCACAACAGAGAAAATACAAAACCGAACAGATACAGTAACATCAGACTTACCAATAAACCACCGGAAGAAATTGTGAGAAGAAGAAAAAACACATTAACATAAGGTTATCTGAGATGTTCCTAAATCATTTCATTACAATGCAACATACCATCGCTAGACTGCGTCTTGTATGCTTTCATACAACATCAGCCCTTTTGAGGCTAACTATGCCTTAAATAAAATATGTAGAT